CCAGGAATAGAGTAGACACACCTAACTGATCATGTATACCTGAAAGAGGGCTGTGTGATACAGAGTTGATTAGAAGAGGGAGGAGCTGGGTCCAGAAGATAGTTAGTATGAGAGCCCTTTGAGTCCAGTGGTCTGCCACAGTCCCCCTGAATTTGCCTGAGCCAGGATGTCTGCAGAGTTGTTCAAATTCACTGTGAGGTAATAGGAGCCTTTCCTAGTTACTAGGACCATTCTTTCAAATTTTCACTTAACCCTCAGAACCTTGGAGAAAATAAATGACCCGATGGAGTTGGTGGATAAGTAGAGAAAATTCATGTGAGAAGTCTTCAAAAATAGCAGTGAACTCTGCAAATGCTAGTTGATAACGTAGGAGGCAGCCCTTTGCTAAACTGTTTTGCCTTAAAAGTTTTAATTCTGTTGAAGTCTTATTTTTGGTAGGACCATATTTTAGAGGACACATAGTTTTATGGGTCAGGGTTTTGGTCTAAATCAGTGTTTTTCAATCTTTAAAAAAAAATCTCATGGTACTCTTGAACCTATAGTTAAACTTCCACAGCACACTTAAATTATGTTGATTAAAAGAAAGGGGTAAAAAAAGAAAAGAGTATAATTACTGTGCTTTGAACTTTTTTTGAAAATAATTTAGTTAATGATCTTTAAAAGTTTTCTAGACACACCTAAGACCCTCCTGTGGCACACACTGCTTGAAAATCACTGGTTTAAATTGTCTTTCCTTGAAAGTTTTATTCTGTTGGAGTATGTTTTGGGGGGATCACATTTTAGAGGACACACGATTTTGCAGTGGAGGTTCTTATTTTTAAAAGAGGGATACCTCTGGAGAGCATTTCGCGGGAGCACTTCTGTTTCCCAAATTCAGCCATGCCGTCTTCCCAGGCAGCCTGCGGTTTCTGCATCATTAGTGTGTCAAGGTTGGTTAGCATTTCCGTGGGTGTGCTTGCGAGCGAGAGCAGGGAGTCATTCATTCAGCAGGACCCGCACGGCAGCCGGGCCTGAGATCTTCTTCATTGTCAGTAAGTCAGACACGTCTGTTGCCCACCTGGGGTTTTCAGCTCGAGATAACTGAGTCACACTTTGCTGGTAAAGTGGGGTTGATAATACAAGTGTCTTGTGTCTTGTGTCTTGTGCCTTGTGTCTTCACCAGTGTGTGTGTGGGAATCATGAAAGAAGAGGACGCCTTCTGTGAAAGGAGAGGACAGGTAGATACACCCCGTGGAGCTGTCACTCCTCGGCTTCCCCGCGGCCGCACGTCTAGCTTCCATCACCCGCAATCTGGCATCCTTTGCCAACATGCATTTTATTCCATTTATATTCTAAGTTGCCATTCCCTTTATAGGGTATATGACTGCTTCAGATCTATTTGTTGGCTATTGTGTAAAGGAACATACAAATTTGTCCGTGTTCAATGAACACATAATAACCCAGAGGAATGAAAGTTTGAGCCTGAAGGTTTTTTTTTTTTTTTTGAGTCAGTCTTACTATGTTGCCCCTGGTAAAGTGCTGTGCCATCACAGCCCACAGCAACCTCAAACTCTTTGGCTTAAGCCTCTGCCCTTGTTCTCTTGCCTCTGCCTCCCAAGTAGCTGGGACTACAGGCGCCTGTCACAATGCCCGGCTATTTTTTTTTATTGCAGTTGTCGTTGTTTAGCTGGCCCCAGGCTGGCTTGGAACCCAGCAGCCTTGGTGCATGTGGCTGGTGCCGTAACCACTGTGCTACAGGTGTTGAGCCATGAGCCTGAAGTTTTTAAAATATAAGAGGTAGCAAAGATGACCGTAGGAAACTGGTGAACCATCCACATGCCAGTTCATCACATTTTATGGATTTAATAGAGATTAATTTATTTTCATTTCTTTAAAGACCCCAGTTCCAACACTAGTGGTAGGCATGGTACTAGAGTTCGGGAGAGCTAAATAACTGCTTTGTTTTTCTGAGCCACATCCGATACCTTTTAGAAGCTGCTTGATGTCGGTGCTCATATTCTAGGCCAGGAAGTCCCCAGTGAAATGATTTGAGTCAGTGTTCTTGAATGTTTACTACCCAAAGCTCTAGACTTAGGAGAGAATCTCACAGAGCAGAATGACCTATTTCTAATCTTCCCTGGAGAAAGCTTTTAGTTTGAAAGAATCTAATAGACAAGCTATATTAATGTGATCGTGCAGACACATGTGTGAGCATGCCTGTGGTTGTGCTCTGGGTATGTACCTCAGTGAAGTTACTAGCAAATGCTTTCTTAGTAAATATGGGAAATACTTCTGGAACCTTAGATTCCGTTAACTATTTTTTTTTTTTTGGCCGGGGCTGAGTTTGAACCCGCCACTTGGCATATGGGGCCAGCGCCCTACCCTTTTGAGCCACAGGCGCTGCCCAGATCCTGTTAACTCTTAAAAAGTTCCTACCCCTAAATGAAACAATTCAGATGGATACAGGGGGACTTCACTTTCTAATTTTTTAAAAAGTGTGCTGCTTCTTCATACAGGAATATGGATACCGTTTGCTTAGATTCTGCAGGCTTCTCTGGCTACTGTAGATTGCCTTTGTGAGGAACCTCAGCCCTTTCACCCTCTCCTTCCTACATCAAGATTCTGACAGCAACTTGAACGGAGAGGGAGAATGAACCTGTACGCTGGCACAGCGTCTCCTAGGTAGCAGGAGTCCCAGGCTCATTATAACTGGTGTGGGTTTCCAGGTCCTATTCCTATTACAGCACAAGCTGAGTGGACCCTCGTCGTGGCTAAAATGAGTCCGGGAACAGCCATTGTATTTCTTCCTACGCTTTGCAATGTAGACAAGCAGAGGTGGCACTAGGGCGCTCTCTGTTGTTGATGCACCAGACCCGGCTTTGTGCTCTGCTCCCCTGCTCTGCCTGTGAGAGCTTTGCCTTGGTCCACCTGCCTTGAGTCAGGTTAAAAATCAAACACGTGCCACCTGGCGACAGCGACTTCTGTGTGAGTCACTTATTTAGAGCCCTGGGGCCTGCACTCACCCCTTTCCCATTGATTTGAGGCCTACCTTTGTTTTAACTGTATCTTTAATCGCTAATCTTATAACTTGAATCCCTGTCTCTGATGCCTATGAATTGGACTCTAACACTTTCTCTCCCAGATAAATGCCTCGATTCTCTTATGCCTCAGGTGGCAACTTTACCTTCTAACTCCCTTTTATAGCTCCCAGTTCTGTCATTGGCCACTTGACCAGCTTAAGGCTTTTTTTGAGCGGCAGCTATTGCATCTCAATGGGACAAATCACTTTTCTTTGTAAAGTCTCCTTTGCATCCTGCTGTTTCCCTGGTTAACGATTTAACCTCTGCTGCTCATCCAGCGTCATGTGCCATTACATTTAAGGCGTATAAGTGGGTATTCTTTTTGATACTAAAGATCAAAGTAGCAAATGCCAAGTAAACGAGTATATACCCATTTTTTTCACAATAGCAAGTGGCCCTGATGATTGAGAATAAAAGCCTATTATCAAGGCAGAGGTGCTCTCTTCAGCAGTTTCTGTACCGAGCACACGTCCTCTGACATCATGTTATCTGATCTTTGTTTAAAAGGTTTCTTGATTAATTGATTTCTCTTTGATGCATTGTTGCATCAAAGAGTTTATGTTTATTTGAGGGAGTATGCACTGGCATTAAGTAATTAATTGTCATGAGCTCCACCAAAGGCCCCGTTTTATTCTGCTGTAAGTATTCCCTTGGTATTTTTATTCCTACCCCTTCCCCCAGTGGATGCTGGAAGATTGATTTTTTTTGCCCATTTCCTTACATTTATTTTTAAAAACTCCAATCAGGGTCCAAAAAACCGTCAGTGTCAGGAACACTTCAGAAATTCTCCACTGCCTGTTGCGATATTGGCTTCATTCTTCTTTCTCAGTTATAGAACAAGCTCTTCCTGATTGGATCTCCACCAGCACAGTCAGGAAACAATAGCTCCCCACATCCATCACCTCTGTCTGCACGTTATCTTGTTTCAAAGGCTTTCCAATTAGTCCCATGGAAGCTAGAATCACTCATAATTATAAGCCTGTTATGCCTTTTGTTTCTTGATGTCCTTGTTAATTCCTGTCCATCCTGCACTGGTCTGTAACATGGTGCTATTATCAGCTCTCTCGTCCTTAAAAGCCTCTTGTCTGCCGTTTTTGACTAAGATTGATTAACTGCGCTTTGCTGAAATCAATCATTTTGGATTAAAAAAAATCTATCCTGTGTATTTATTTCTTCTGGCTACTTTTACATGATTTCACTATTTTTTTCCTTTTTGCAATTAATCAATTCGCCAACTTGGTTTCTTGCTCTTTTTTTTGGCTTCCTTTCTCTCTTGCTATTATTTAAGAACTGTCGACCTTTATCTATTTTTTTCTCCTGTCCTCTCACAGACAACACCTCCAAGAAGAAAAGCCAACTGCAGGATGCAGTGGGATAAATTGTCATTTAGAACCTGGGCAGACACTACTCCCATTTCCTGTTTTGTAACATGAGAAAGATGGTTCTTTTTTTTTTTTTTTTTTTTTTTTTTGAGACAGAGCCTCAAGCTGTCCCCCTGGGTAGAGTACTGTGGCATCACAGCTCACAGCAACCTCCAACTCCTGGGCTCAAGCAAGTCTCCTGCCTCAGCCTCCCAAGTAGCTGGGATCACAGGCGCCTGCCACAACACCTGGCTATTTTTTGGTTGCAGCCATCATTGTTGTTTGGGGGGGCCTGGGCTGGATTCGAACCCACCACCTTAGGTGTATATGGCTGGCGCCTTAGCCACTTGAGCCACAGGCTCCAAGCCAGAGAAAGATGGTTCTTCTAAGCAATCCTCCCCCTAAGTGGTTCCCAGGTGGAAGCTCATGACGGCCTGCCAGTCACTTGGCAGTGACATTGGGACATGCTTCTTATTTGTACCTTGAGGCTCCTCTGTGCTCTAATCTTACAAGATTGGTAAGACAATCTCAAACTGAGACATATCAACATGTTAATTAATATTTTCCTTTCTTTTCCTAGGTACTGACTTTAACATAGATAGCTTACCTCTACCTAGAAAAGCCCATCATGACTGGGCCCTTTTTCATGAAGAGTCCCCGAAAAACAATTACAAACTCTTCCACAAGCCGGTCATCACCTTGTTCAACTACACGGCCACCTTCAGCAGACACTCCCACTTGCCACTAACCACCCAGTACTTGGAGGGCATAGAAGTCCTGAAGTCACGCCGCTACCTGGTTCCTCTGCAGTCCAAAAACAACCTTAGGAAAAGACTTGCCCCTCTGGTGTACGTACAGTCGGACTGTGACCCACCCTCAGATAGGGACAGCTATGTCCGCGAGCTGATGACTTACATAGAGGTTGACTCCTACGGTGACTGTTTACGCAACAAAGACCTCCCTCCTCAGCTGAAAGGTCCGGTCTCCATGGATGCTGACGGCTTTTACAGGATCATCGCCCAGTATAAGTTTATCCTTGCTTTTGAGAATGCCGTGTGTGACGACTACATTACCGAGAAGTTATGGAGGCCACTGAAACTGGGGGTGGTCCCTGTATATTACGGATCCCCCAGCATCGTGGACTGGCTTCCAAGTAACAAAAGTGCTATTCTCGTATCTGAATTTTCTCACCCCAGAGAGCTGGCAAGTTACATCAGACGACTGGATTATGATGACAGATTGTATGAGCCCTACGTAGAATGGAAGCTGAAGGGTGAGATCTCTAACCAGAGACTTGTGACAGCTCTGAGGGAACGGAAGTGGGGTGTGCAAGACACCAACCAGGACAATTACATCGATGCCTTTGAGTGTATGGTGTGCACCAAGGTGTGGGATAATATCCGGCTTCAGGAAAAGGTAAGCACGTCAAGGTCTGGCAAAGAGACAGTAGGTGGCCGCCTCGACGGTCTCTGCCCTCTGCCCTCCTTCCTTCTGTGGTTGTCAAGGTCTGGCAGAGAGACAGTAGGTGGCCACCTCGACGGTCTCTGCCCTCCATCTGTGGTTGTCGAGGTCTGGCAGAGAGACAGTAGGTGGCCACCTCGACGATCTCTGCCCTCTGTCCTCCTTTCTTCTGTGGTTGCTTCCTCTTTATGCCTATCAGAGAGGCTGGACTCCCGCAAAATGATTAAATATTTCATTGCTATCTTTGGGACTGAGGTTTATAAGCCACGTCCTTATTCCTGAAAGCCTTCAGTTCTTTTGTGGTTTTTTCTGGAGGAGGCCAAGGAGGCTATAGAAAGAGGGGAGGAGGCCCAAATAGAAAACAATTAAGAGCTTTGCATATCATCCTCACGGTCAGTCCTTTAATCTCCGTCAACACTGCGGCAGAGGAGTACGGTGGCTTCCTCCGTGACTTTTGTGCTGAGGCCCCTCGGCCGCTGTTCTGAAACTCATTTTCATTTCACACGTACAACTAACCCCCTTTTCTCTCCTTCCCGCTCTCTGATTCTTACTCTTTCTCCTTGCCCACGTCCATTTATATAAATATGTAAATTATTATATAGAATATATTAATATATACAAATTATTCAAATAATGATGGGGATAATCCTTAAAACACTGTTTCTAAATTTTTATGAAGTCCATACCAATATCTTCACATGTCTAATTGCCCTTAATGTTTGTTTGCTTTCTTTATTTTTAATGGGAATGATCCTGCTTTATGTATAAATGAGTTTGTTAAAGGGAACTTTGTGGAAAGAAAAAGATTAGTTTAAACTTCTCTTGAAATTTTTAAAAATTGAAGCGGCCCACAAGTACCACTTGCCACCTGTCACCCCACACCCCCGTCTGCCTCCAGAGACACATAATGTTTTATCTAAATTCCCTGAAGGCAAACAACTTTTGTTAAATATTTAAGTGTTTATCTTGGTTCTCATATTAATTTCAGGTCAAGTGTGAACCTATACAGTGTGTGACATTATTTTTAAGTATCGTACACATATGTATACTATTCGGGGCTTTCCTATACTAAATGTGTATATGTTTATACAAAGTTTAAAATATTCAAACAGTATTTTTCTAATGTAAACAATTGTGAAACTTTTAACTCTTTTATTTGGTTTTATGTAACATTTTAGCTCATAAAATCATTTATTTGGTACCGAGTGTCTTGATCAGCAACAGGAATCCTAAACGTTAGTGACATCATTCTTCTCAGAATGCACCCGGATTTCTGACGGTTTCCTTTATGATCTAAATTTTAGGGCTGCGTCATAGCAAAAATAAAATACACTACATGTACATACACACGTGTGCACACGCACACCCCTGTGAAAACGTGGGAGAGAGTAGAGTCCGTGTTAATTGTCCATGCTATACCAATGGTTCATTCTCAAACGGTATTAAAGCAAAAAATGGAATTTCTGAGGGTGGTGATTGGCCTGACCTAGCTTTCGAGATCATTTCAAGGCTTCGAGATTGTGTTCACCGAAAACTGAAAGAACTGTTTAATTAACCCTGCCTACCTCTGGGCCTCACTAAGGCCTGTGGGTCAGGGGGTGTGAGGACATTGCTTTTCCAAAGAGGGAGGAGGTCATTCCTGCTTCTCCGGCAGACCCAGCTCACTGACTGTGGAGTGTCAGAATCTACCTACAGGTGGCAGAGTGGAATGTCCTCCTCTTTGGACTCATTGAGGCATATTTGCTGGAGTAGGCTGTCCTCTGTGCTCTGATCTTTCCCAGGGGTGCTCAGTGAAGATGACTAGAAGGCTTTGCTTGCATCTCAATGAAGTGGTTACAATTCCAAAATGCTAATATGCTCATTATCGACAGCAGAACAAAACATACTGTGAAAGCAAATTAAAGGGCATTAGACCAGTTTTTATTTGCATTTATTTTACCAGATTTGCTGCAGCAAAACTTAAGGTCAGCTACTTAAATATAAGTTGCCTCTGCTTTTTCTTGTTTAGCCAAAGGAAAGCTGAAAGGACTATTCTGATTTCCTCTAACTCTATTTTTGTCTTGCAGTTGATAATCATTTAAATTGTTGTGTTTGGGAGGAGATAGTACTGTTAGAATATCAAGCATTTTCCACTTCTCTGCTCTGCCCTCCTCTCCCTCACATCGATAGGCAGACCTAGTGTATTACCAATCGATTGCTGTGTAACAAGATCACCACAACCCTAATGGCTTAAAACAAATTACATCCGTCACCTCACAGTTTCTGTAGGTCAGGATTCTCGTCCTGGCTTACCAGGGTCCTCTGTTAGTCTGTGTCAAGGTGTCAGTCAAGGATGTATTCTCATCTGGAGGCTCGACCAGGGAAAGGTTTGCTTCTAAACGTACATGTTTTTTGGCATATTTTCAAGGTTGTAGGACCAAGGGCTTTAGTTTCTTGCTGATAAGAGGCTGAAGGCTTCCTTCAGCCTGAAGAGGTCACCCTTATGGGCTTCCCCAACAGGGCTCCTCACTTCCTCAAAGCCAGCAAGGAGGCCAGAGACTCCAGGGAGGCCAGAGACTCCAGGAAGGCCAGGTTCAAGGTCTTATATACATAATCACACCTCCTCTGTTACCTTTGCCTTGTTCTGTTGGCTAGAAGCAAGTGAGAAGTAACACCCACATGCAAGGGACTGTAAACTGAATGTTTATGTCCCCCCACAATTTATATGTTGAAACCCTAGCCCCCAGTGTGATGGTACTTGGAGGTGAGGCCTTTGGGAGTTGATTAGGTCATGAGGGTGGAGCCTTCACAAATGGGATTAGTGCCTTTATTAAAGAGTCTCTTGCCTCTTGCTGCTACATGAGGCCACAAGGAAAAGATGGCCATCCATGAACCAGGAAACAGGAGCTCACCAGACAGTGAATCTGCTGGTGCCTTGAACTCAGACTCCCCGGGTGTGAAATAAATGCTTGTTGTTGGAGCTACCTGGTCTATGATACTCTGTTTCAGCAGCCAGGAGGGACTAGGACACAAGGGGTGCATATTGTACAAGGGAGGTGGGGAGACGATGAGAGCCACCCACCCTGAATCTAAATAAGCTTATTCTCTATTTTTTGATCTTTCCCTATGTAGGGAAAAGTTTCAGTATTGAAGAAGCTACCTCATGAGTAAATTTTATTCACTTAAAGATTAGTTATTAATAAATGATCTGTCTTCAAAGAAGCTATACTAGAGATGACATGTAATCATCAGAAATACAGCTTCATGGAATTGGGATCAACTTTTTAAAAAATTAGCTTTATTGAGGTGTAAATATATACAGTAAACACACATTACAGTTGTACAGTTGACAATGATATATGCAGACGCCCGTGAAGCCATCACTTATAGTCAAGATGACAGACATTTCTGTCATCTTTCCAGAACATCTTCATGACCCTATCTAACCCATCACCCTCCACGCCTCTCCTCAGGCAACTACCCACCTGCTTCTTCTCACTTTGGACAAAGAAGCCCAGGCAGTTTTTTGGAGTTTTATATAAATGAAATCACATAACGTGCAATGCTATGATAATGTTGATATTCACGATTATTTATTGGTAGACCATTTCCGAATTATGTATGTACCAGAATTTGCTAGTCTGCCTCCCTGTTAATGGACGTTTGAGTTGTTTCCAGTTTTTGGCTATTATAAATAAAAACGCTGTGAACAGTCATACAAAGTGTGAATGCACGAGTCTTTGTATGGACATAACTTTCCATTCTCTTCTGTAAATATCTAGGAGTGTAATGGCTAGGCTGTATGGTAAATGTGTATTTAACATTTTGAGAAATGACCACACTATTTTCCACAGTTGTTCCAGCTTCTCTTTTCACCAGCCCTGTGAGAGTTTCAGTCATTAACACCTGATTTAGTTGGTCTTTTAATATCTGACATGCTAGGGGTATACAGAGGCATCTCACTGTGGTTTAATAGCTTAGATTTTGCTAATGATAAATGATGTTGAACATCTTTTAATTGCTTATTTATCATCAAGATCGTCCTTGGTGAAGTGTCTTTTCAAATCTTTTACTGATTTTTTTTATATTTGGTTGTCTTATTAATATTATTGCATTGAGGCTCGGCGCCTGTGGCTCAAGCAGCTAGGGCGCCAGCCACATACTCCGGAGCTGGTGGGCCTGCCAAACAACAATGACAGCTATAACCAAAAAATAGCCTGGTGTTGTGGTGGGTACCTGTATTCCTAGGTACTTGGGAGGCTGAGGCAAGAGGATCGCTTAAGCCCAAGAGTTTGAGGTTGCTGTGAGCTGTGACATCACAGCGCTCTCCTCAGGGTGACAGCTTGAGACTCTGTCTCAAAAAAGAAATATATTATTGCATTGAAAGTATTCTTCACATATTTTAAACATAAATCATTTGTCAATTATATCATTAACAAATATTTTCCTCCAGTCTGTGGGTTGTCTTTTCATTTTCTTAACAGTGTCTTTTGAACTGTAAAGTTTTTACTTTTGGTGAAGTCCAGCCTATCAGTGTTTCATAGTTCATACTTTTGCGTCCTGTTTAAGAAATTTTTGTCTTAAGAAAAAAAATAGCTGGACATTGTGGAGGGCACCTGTAGTCCCAGCAACTTGGGAGACTGAGGCAAGAGAATCGCCTAAGCCCAGGATGGCGCGGCACTCTACCGAGGGCAAGAGAGTAAGACTCTGTCTCAAAAAAAAGAAAGAAAGAAAAAAAAAAGAAATCTTTGTCTAACCAGTCTAACCAAGGGTCACTAAGATTTGTTTTTGCTTTCTTCTAGAAACTTTATAGTTTTAGCACTTACATTTAGGTCTGGGGTCCACTTAGAGTTTGTTTTTATAATGCAGTGTGGGCTAAGTTAACACCGAGGTCTGTTTATTTGGATACCCGATTGTGTCACCATAATTTATTGGAAACATTATTCTTTCCTAATTGAAGTACCTTGGCTTCTCGT